GCTACAGAAAATAAAGCATTGAAAGGCCACTGTGTCAGAATAAATAATCTAATATTGAAAGGAAGTGTTCTTAATCACTGGTTCCTTCAGGTCCTGTAACAGAAATGTAGTCAAATATTTTTATCACCCTGATACAAACTATATACAAGGCACACATAGAACATCAAAGAGAATGTGTGTCTAAGCTAGATCTCTAAAAAGGGAGAACAGAGATGTGGTTAACATGAACAATATGTTTTGAAGGCACATTCAATGATCTCTAATATTTCTGATCGACCTGAACACCTAATTACCTTTGCTATTAGGTGTGTAGCTCCAACCTCAATAAATGACAGGTAAGCACTGGAAAATAGATTCATGGTATCACCAATTGCCCTTGAATGATTTTGGTCCCTTCTGAGAAAGGAAGAGACAAATACATTTTCTGATCCACTAAGATCCAACAAACTGAAGAAATCTGGATAAGTTTACATGAACATATCACTGAATGGAAAGGTAATGTTCCTTAGATTAATATCTGAATACATTAAAGAATGTATCAACTCAAAGGGTTCTTTTTGAACTTAGTAGGTTTACTGATGAACATTTGGCATACATAAATGCATTCACCAGGTCTTGTGGCAGAAAGAATCTAGTCTTCAAGAAAGTATTTTTTTTTATGGGAGTTTTTGTTTATATATATATATATATATATATATAATATTCAATTTCTCTTAAATTTAAATAAAATATTGGCGGTTTTTTTACCTTACAAAATTTGCACCATATTGTCAATGAATATAGTTTTCAAAAGGAAAAATTAAAAAATACAGGTAGTCAATTAAGGAAAGAGTAACTTCAATTAACAAATATTTTGACTAACCATAAAGTGTTATGCTCTTAACGTTTTGATAATTGTGCTTGTAGACCAATGGTTAGGTTTCAATCTGCAACTTAGAAATAGACATTATATTTTCTAAAGTTACAAATACACTTAATAACCATTCTCTTTAAAATGGCCATTCTTTAATATTTTCAACCATATTGACAAGAGCATTACAGGTTGAAAGTAGATGAAAAACCATTAAAGGAGACGGATAAAAAAAAATCTGTCAATATAACTGTGCTAAACGGACAAACAACTATTACAATATTGAAGGAAAATTCAGCTTTCCATATTGATGCAGTATCATCTATGAAGCTCACATTATAGAAGGTAAAATATAAAATTGGTATAAACTAAATTTTATTAGGGCATAATTCTTAAGTTAATGATTAAAATAGAATTACTATAAAAGTCATCTTTTAATTTACCGCTCTCCTGCAGTTCAATATATACTTTTGAATTCATCAATTTTCTTTCAAACAAAAAATTTGGATCAAATGTTTAAGTGAATCTGAGCCAAAAAGCTTGTATATTGGCATGTAAATATCAATGGAAAACTTGATATTTTGTACAGAAATGACATCAGGGGAAGCAATTTTAAGTTGCATTAGCAGAGCCTAACTAATGTTATAGTTTATTCCAATCTTACCAAGTGACTATTTTCATAAAATTAAAACTATGAGAGTGAACTTACTACAATTATTTTACAAAATTAACAGCAAGTACTCCACCAAAATAACTTTACTGGGGTATAAATTCCACATGGTAACAGAAGAACTCTTTTAAACTTTGTTTTGAAACCAAGGTATAAAAAATAAAATGGCTAAAAGTTTGAGCTTCAAATGTAGCCAATGAAAAGGGAGAAAAGAAACTCAAAGACAAGATTTAGATATGTTTTTAATAGAACAATGTATAAAAAGGAAAAAAAAATTTTAAAAAATGTATCATTTTAATCAAATAAAAATTATCACAAAGAAAAAGAATTAGAGAAAATGTGGAATGAAGAAAATAATCAGAATAAAAATATCACTTTTAAATACTTATTTCTATAAAAAATAAATTCACTTCTTGATGTTTATATTGATTGTAAGGTAAATGAGATTAGCCTGGTGTAAAGAAATGAATGCAACATGAAACATTAATTGAAGCTCAAATGAAGGCTTTAGTAAAGCCAGAAATATCGCCATATTTTTTCAAACTGAATCTGAACTCTTAGTGAAGGAGTTGAAGGGACAAGACAGCATTTGTTGGATTGATTGTGCAGGTACTTTTTGTGTAGTATTCACAAATTAAAATCATTCTTTCACAACCAGTAGTCTGTTTAACACATGTACTTATTTGTTCTATCATGTTTATCAACAAAAAAAATATTTTCAGGCACACAATCTTCCTACAACCAAACATGTTTTTTTAGCTGAACTCAATACAGAAAATATTACAATTTTATAGCAGATAAAATCCAAGCACAATTAGGTGAGAAGACCAGCCTTTGACATTCATTGCCATACAGAATGAGGCACAGCACTTCATTGATTCTATCATAAAGACAGCAGCAGTGGACCTAGAGGAGTGAAACTCATGCTGTTTGTCACTCGGGTGTTTTTGTTGAGGTGACTGACAACCTTCATGATGATAGCCTCAAAAAGTTTGCTGATGACACTGAGAATGTGGAAAAGGAATACAAGGATAAGATAGATAGACAATTTCTAAATGGGGAAAACATTCAAATCTCAATTTGTGAAATAACATGAGAAACAATACAAAGTCGGAATTAAAAGAAATAAGAAAATATCAGCAGAGGGTATTGTCTGATTTATAAAAAAAAGTACAATGTAAATAAAAGAAAAGGTTTCAAATATCACTAAGACAATGTTATTTAAAAAAACAAACTGAATATAAATTTCTAATTAAGAGATTAAACACATATACACCAAACATTTTTTAAGACAGTATGTGCAAAATTCATATGGCAAACATCTTGCATATGCTATTCATTCAAGTAGCAATCAGTTTAAGAGTTTTTTGTTATACTAGAAAGTTTAAAATCTCTGAATTCTTTTCTAAATTTACTTACCTCTGATATTTGAAGTTGTAAGAAAAGAAAAAACAATTTAAACCTACATAGAGTAATTTTTAAATACATTTTTGTGGCATTTATTTGTCGAGGTAGAATGAGTGTCTTTCATTTCCTAAGGCGAAAAATTGCTTTATCAACTTACATTAAAAAATAAAAAAAAAAATAAAATCACAAATGATGACCAAGAGAAAATGTGTGTGTCCTTTAAACTCATTTAGAGATCAAATAAGGATTTAGCCATGATGAAGAAAAAGAAAAATCTATATCAGTAACATTCCTACTTTAATTCAAAGAGGAACAGTATTATTAGTTTCAATTTCAGTTGCTTAACAGAAGATAATCTGCTCACTAGATATTTCAGTATGCAAAATATGTAGTGCAGCTGGTCCCAATCCAAGTAAGAATTAGAAAAATTTTGCATATTTTTTGAAGCACAGGATTCATACTAAAGTTGTTACTAAATACTTTTCTAAATACCAAATGAAATGCACTTTTGAGAACTTAATCTTTTTTGGAAGCACAAAACAATCAAATATGGTTCTTCTTTAAAGCCTATTTCAGATTGATAAAATTCAAATATACAATGGTTAAAAAGTTAGATTTCATATTTTGGTTAAAATATTTTCAATATTTATATGGACAAATCATTATATTAAATTCGAAATTAAGTGAAATAAATTGAATGTTCCATGCTCCTCTGAGGTATAAAAAAATTTTTAAATGAATGATCTCTTTTCTTAAGACAATCACAGTATTTGCTTTGGAGAAAAAGCATCACTTCCTTCTGATATTTTATAAAACAACTGCAAAATAAATTTATCTAGAATGTGTCCTTCAAATATATCACATTCCTTTATTAAGGAAAAGGAAAAAAAAATATTAAAAAAAAATTATATCTGTCCTAATTTCTTTAAAATCCAGTCACTTTAATCATTTTTTTTTTAACTAGTCTTTTCAATCTGTACATTTTCAAGGACTACTGATGGCATGATCATTGTTCATTAACAATTTAAGAGTCATATCCAGCAGGTAAACTCACAGTTTTAGTCACTATTCAGCCTATCATCTACAAGATCTAATTACATTAAGACACATTAGACAACTGTTTGTGGTGTGACATTTACGTATAACTATTCCAAAACAGAAATTTAGATGACCATCAGAAATACATTACATGCCATAACTGTCCATCTTAGAATTTACAATCACTTGAATAAAATCTTTAGACATGATTTCATATTCTTTTCTTTCATGAAATAAAAGATTGTATAAACTAAAATCCAATAACATTTTAAAATAATTGAGGAAAAAGTTAAATTCTAACCTCAATGATTAATTCATTTATTGGTAAAAACCAATTATTTTCAATATTTGGCATTAATGTTACTCGATGTAATTATGAAAAAAGGCACTCCCTTTGTACGAATTTTTTTTTTTTTTTTTAGAAGGCTGTGATATCTATGCCAAATTTAAGACAAAATTCACACAATGGCTTCAACATTTCAAAGAATTTCAAAATCATTGCGAATGATATAAGTGTCATTTTATGAATTAAACCTGGAAAACAGATTTTGATTGTTTTTCTTTCTACATAGATTCAACTAATCCTTCCTAATTTTAGAACTTCCTTCAAATTATCAGAATTGTTTCATGTTCTGCAAGGAAATAAAGATAATATTATTTAAAACTTAAATGACTAACAGCAGCAGAAGTTTGTATCTATAGGCTTGTAAATGTTACAGCAGCACACCTAATGATCTTAATATTGTAATTAAATCCAATGTGCTTAAAAGAATTTTCATGAAAATATTAGTGGGTACTAAGAACAAAACAATTAGTAAATGTTTATATTTTGGATTTGTTTCAGATTTCTGAATTTCATGAAACCAAAAGTAATTATAGTAATTTATTATAAAGTTTTGAGTTAATTACTTCAAATTCTGGTAAAATATCAAACAGTTAATAAAATATTATTAAAAAATAGAAAAAAACGAAATGCTAGTGGCATTTTTTTAGGAGATGACAAGCAGCACCGAATAAAAGACCACCAAGAACATTTCACACATAAAGTACATCACATAGTAGCAGTTTCTCTCTTAATGATCCGATAAGTGTTTGGTTTTTGTAGAAAGATGCTACTGTGCTAGCAGCTAGCATGGTACCATCATTGGCATAAACTTCCTTCATGGATTTGACCAAACCATCTTGTATCTCCAGTTTTATCACCTGAAAAGTAAAAGATTCAAAAGAGAAATGTTATTTGATGTCACATTAGCATAATGTGAATGTAAAATGCTTCACATCCAAGATTTTCATTTGGTACAAAAAGTTAAACTGAGGACCCAACCAGCATATTCTTGAAACCTATCTTAAAAATTATTGCAATATTTCTGCTACTCTTTGTAATAGGTAAATCATTAACAATTAAGTTCCATGTTTTTTTTACAAATTTTATGATCACTTACTGAACTAGTAAATGTAAATTTATCATAAAAGTGTACATATATTACAAAATAATATTGTATAATAGAATAGGCACAATTGTTCAGATTTTAACTTTTTATTTTATTGAAATTTTTTGTTGACTCTTAAAAAATCCCAATTAATTAATAACAAAAATTGGAAAAAAAATGAAACAGTGCAAAAAAATCTTGCAAGACTTATAAAAGATGAATAAATTTTCAAAAATTAAAATCAGTCAAATGAAAAGAAAAATGCTATTTAAAAAAAAAATACAAAAAGCCTTGTATTTAGTTAAAGATACAAATGAAAATGAAATGTGTCAATTTTTTTATACAAATATTTTAAAACAGTAAACATGAAAATCCTGTTTTAAACGATACAAAGGTTAAGAAAAATCAACCTAAATTTTTGGTAGGTGTATTTGCAACAGATTGATACACAAAACATCTAAAAACTCACCTGTGAAGGAGCTCCATAAATAGGATTTAACATGTAAACCCAAGCTGGTAGAATTTTGGGGTGACACCCAATCCAGACATCACCATTTTCATCAACAGTTGGATTATCCACCAAAGTATCAACAAGATGCTCCTTTTTTTTTTTAAAAAAAAAAAAAAAAAAAAGTTATATCAGGTTACTACAATGAAACAATTTCGAACTATATTAAGGAAAATCTGAAAAATCTTCCTAACCCACACTTCTCTCCTAGGAAAAAAAATTAATGGTAATAGTCTGAAAGATGTGTGGAATAAGACTTCTGAAGACTTCCAAAAAAACAGAATTTTAAAATTGAAGCATAAAAAATATCAGCCCAATATGTATAACTTTTAATATGTATGTATCAAGCTCATTGCATTAAAATATTTACTGAAGTTACTCCGCAAAAATAAAACATAAATGAATTCAGATTCCTTACAAAATATTGAACAAGTATTAGTCAATATTTTCTAAGGAATCTGAATTCATTTGTGTTTTATTTTTGCGGAGTAACATCAGTAAATATTTTAATTATTGCAAGGGAGATAACACACTTTAAACAACGTTGCTTTCTTTAAAAAAAAAAAAAGTTATAACAGCTATTTGCTTCAATTACTTTAAAAACTGGATTTAATTTTTTAATACCAAAAATTTAGGATTTCTAAACAGGAAAAATATGAAAGTTAATTTTGAAAAGTACAGAAATGCCATTTAGTTTTTTACAAATCACTGTAGAAAAGAGGTTTTAGTTTTCTATTGATTGAAAAAGCAAGAAATTTACCTGGTGAAATGTCAAGCTATTATCTGTTTCTCGTCTAAATACCTTCAAATCTTTGGTCATTGTGCAAGCTACATAGACATACCTGGAAAAGAAATGTGAGTAAAAGCCTAAGATCTTAACTTTTAACATTCAAGTATAAATTTCTAAACAAACAAATAGTTATGTTCTATCCTGTTTAAACAGTTCTATCTCTTTGTATGCGAAAGGATATTGATTTTTTTTTTTTTTTACAGCTTATCAACCTTTTGTAGGTTATGTAAAATCAGAAAGTATTTTTAAATTGTAAGAATTTGGGGGATATAATAATGCTCTATTGATACATGTAGTTCTAAGTGAAGGGGGAGGGAAGAAACGGTGGATTCCTCCAGGTTATTTCTGTATAAATGAATATAACATGATATGGCCGTAAGCATCTGTATGCAAAAGGAGAAAATTTTTATTTTTTTTATTAAATGATTTTTTTTAAATTTAGATTACAAAAATTGATTAGTAGAATTACACAGACTGATGTATGAAATTGTTATACAATTCAAATGATTTTCAGCTAAATGTCTTTTGCATAATATTTTTCAAGCTTGTCATTTTCAATTGTTATCAGCTACAAAAAAAAAATAAAATAAAACAGATTACAGGTAAAACAAGTCATTTGAAAAGAACAAGAAACATATAGTATAACCAAAGACTTTAAAATCATAATTAGGTAATGACATTTTGGGGAGCTATTAGTTATTAATTAGTTTCTCATGTCTAAAAGATTATACTAAGCTTTTTGAAAAATAATTATTAATATAGCTTAAGACAAAATCTTAAAAAGCTTATATAAACATCTACACAGATATGTAGGGAAAATGCTCTCTTCAGTCAACAAAAAAGTTCCTAGAAAGAAATTAATAGCAAAATATTACAATTCTGTGTACATTAAGTTTTAGCTAGAATTGAAGTCTGGATTCCTTGCCTACTAAAAATGATAAAAACCTGAAACAGCAACAATTTTGTTTTTCATTTAATCAAAACTTCTGACTTGTATATTACCATTTTATAAAAGAGTAGTTTTTATTTACATAGCCAATTTGAAAAGTTACATTATAAAGTATAATTCAATAAAAAATTTAGCATAAGATTACCTAAACAGAATCTCATTTATTTTACACCTACAAAAATATTTTAGCTCATTATACAAACACCAAGTCATTGAATGTTGACAATGTTTCTTTAAGTAAAAACAGAATGGTTTTCATTGAGAATAAGTGTATCAATTTATTAGATTGCTATATTCATTTATTCTTAAAATCAACAACATTGCAGAAAAATATTTTATAAAGAGCCTTACTTACTTGCCATCTGCTGACATTGCTAAGCCATTGGCCATCACCATATCCTCAGCCACTAACTTGTAGATCTCTCCATCATGATAATAGACATTAGTCCAAGGAAGAAGCAAAAAGCTCTCAAGAAATAAACCCCAAAGTGATTTGCTGTGAGACCAATTTGTAAAGTAGAAAGTCTTGTTGCTTGTAGCTAAAACATCATTCATACTAATAAAGAAGAAAAACAATTACTCATTTTCAATTGATATTAGTATATGCAAACAAATAAAATCTGTCAATGTCTACATGTTAGATTGATTTGGTTCAATCTGTAGAGTAGACAGTAAATCTCATATACATAAAAGCTCAAATAATAAAATTAAAGATATTTTGAAAAGAAAAAACAAACAAAAACTATCAATATAGTAAAGTGAAAAAGAAAATTACAACTTTTGAATTTTCTTTTTGTTACTATCGTACTAGATAACTGATGACAGAATGGTAGTATGAAAACTGAATTTAGTATTGGTAAGAAACTACAAAGACAAAAGGGAGTGGTAAAGGAGAATGAATTACTTAGAGCAACAAAAATCAAGAAGTTGTGGACAACCATGATCAACCACATCCTGAAAGACACAGTAGATAAAAAAAAAAATCCAAATAAAAATGATAGGATGCAACATCTGCAAGTAGTTTCTATATCATACAAAAATTCATTATTTAAACAATTTAGAAAGGATATTTTTAAATGCTTACATAAAAATGCTGGTATCTCTTGAAGAGTGAGTGCACAGAGCGATTGCAATGAAACTCTAAAGTCAAGATGCTGAAAATAACAATCAGCTAAGTGACAAATTTTATATATTAGTCCTTATTTTTGTTATTTTCAGTCATTGCCCTTCCAGCCTTCATATGTCTGTCAACTTGGGTAACCTTAAGGTAGGTACCTCCACGAAATCGCTAAAAAAAGAGCATAGCTTGATGAAAAAGACGCCAAACTTGCCGAAAACTAAATTTTATTGTCTAAATGCTTATGTTATTATTAAGAGGAAAGACCAAAGTTTTTTTTTAATTATTTTTAAAAATTTTCCTTCTTTTTAGAACATTCTAAATTTTGATTAAAAAACCTTTTTTCTATTTGTATCAGCGGAACTAGTAAATAACATAGACAATTTTTAGCACGTTTTTTGGTATGACACACATTAATTTGAAAAATCGTGCAAAAATAGAAATAATTATCGGATGTTAATGAAATTTTCAGAAACTATTCACAGATGATCGAAATTATTATAAATATGTTTTTTTTTATGAAAGTCATGGTAGAAATATTTTTTTAAATATTTATTACCCCCCATAACTAATTTTATGAAAACGCTAGAAATTCGATCGCATCGGTTTTAGTGATTACAATAGTTAAAAGCACAAGGCTTCGAGGAATGCAAATCATGTTTTGTTTTTTTTGTTTTTTTAATTGGACGTGAAAATCAGCTCTGAATTGTAACATACAAAACTCAATAAAACAAAAGATATTATTTAATTTCAAATGCTTTTATTTACTTTTAGTTATTTTTATGAATATGGACAATATTTTCTGAAAGCAAAAAATTTTTTCGATGAAAATGAATTTTTAATACAATTATTTATTTCATTAATTATAATAGATTTTACATTTAAGTTGTTAAAATATTATAAAATTAGTTAAAAAGCCGCATCGGCTTTCATAAGTGTCCTTATGAGATAGATCTTTTTTTTAGCGCGTTGTAAATTGTATCATTTTGACTAATCAGAAGATACCCAGTAATTAAGAAATGTAATTTTGTGCTTATAATCGAGCTGTAATTATAAAATACGGAAGACCAACCAGAATATAATTAAGTTGCGTTATTTGAGTTAAGCATTGTTCTCCGCTGTTAAGGCCTTTACTTTTTTTGAAAAACACGTGTGGAGAAGTTAATTTGATTTTTCAATTTCAACTGAGAAGGGTACCTACAAGTATCAGTATCATCTTATGAAATTTATATGATCTTATTTTTATATTAATCTCAGTTACGACATTTTTCCATAAATGAAATATCAAAATTAATAATAAAATGAATGCAAATACAAATAACAGTAGAATGTAATAAATGTACATAAAATTATAGTATTTTATGTACAATTCTGATAAAATTTCATAAGAAAGGTACCTATAAATTAATTAGATACCTTTCTTAAGAAATATGAAATTTAATGTCACTCTTAACAGTTTTATTTTAATTTCTTTACAATATATTTCCCATAAAGCATCATAAACATAAAGGTGAAAGCTAAGCAAAAAAAAAAAAAAAAAAAAAAAAAAAAAAAACCGCTGAAAGTTTGCGTTAAAAATAACAGGGTAAATAATTTGTTCACGTAAATGTAAATTATTTCACTTTTCTCCTTCCGTAGAACAAATTAGCCTCATGGAATTCGTAAATATATCATTCATCACATGTCAAGAGAGACGAAAGTTTATGACCTGCTTTGTTTTATTTTCAAATTACATCTTTTTGGCACAAAAGCTAAGTTAAGTTTGGTTCAAAATATTTTAAATAAACATTATAATTTCTGATTTTCTTAAAATAAGTTTTGAAAAAATGATAATTGATATTTAAAAAATTTCAAAGTCAGATTTCCAGTTTTTTTTTAAATGGAAAAAATGGTCAATTTTGCTGACTCAAAAAAAGTAGATTTTTTAACGAAAATTTCGGACGTGCTAGGAACGATTAAAAAATGGAAAAAATACCCCAAAAAATACTTTGACGTTTCCTCTTAATAATAACAAACATTTAGACGATAAAATTTTGTTTTCGTCAAGTTTGGCGTCTTTTTCATCATGCTATGCTCTTTTTTTAGCAATCTCGTGGAGGTACCTACCTTAAGGCAATCTCAAACTGAAAACCCTTATTTAATCTACAGGAGTAGACTTTTCTTGTTCTATGTCTTATTCATATTTAGTATTACTCAGTTAATGATCACCTTCTTTCCACTTAGTCTAAGTCTGTATTACCCAGCCCAGGAATTGAACTAAGAATTACTATGTCACCAAATTCAATTCAAAATCAAAAGCCTATTATTTAAAGAAACAGTTACATTCTTGAAAAGCATGGTAAGATTTTATGCATCATAGTATTTGTTGCACATTTTTTTTGTATCATTTGCAGTCTATTAAGATGTACTTAACAGTGTAATGCCTCATGGGGTATTGATTTTTTTTTAACTAATATTGTGGTGCCACAAATTGACCTATTGTTTATAAGTTTGTTTTGCTGTAGGTGTCATATACTTTAAAGGAGATATTTGAAGAAGGTCTCCTGTAAGCAGACTATATTTGGGCTGTAGTCTGTGAGGAGTCATTTGATATCCTCATAATTTAGATTTATGCCTTTGCAGTTCCACCATATAATGCTTGTATTCTGCATATTCATAAAAATGTTACGCTATCTTGTTTATGATGTGTAGGTTCCATTTTAATTTTCATTTGTTTGATTTTTTTCAAACTTTTTTGTCCTTGTTTGGATATTTTGTGTTGGTTAACATCTTTTGCTTTCATCCTTGCCATAACCCTATGTTTTTTCTTACAGATTTGTATTTCATTCTTTTTATTCAGTTATTAGGGTATTATTTAATTTGGCAGTAAGAGAAATTTCCATATTTGTTATGTTGCTTTTTAAGGCTTTAATGACATTTTGCAATTCACTTATTAATGATGATGTATTTTTGTTTTGTTTTTTGTCAGGTTATTTCCTAGTATCTTCTCATTTACATTTGGTGGTATTTTGGCTATTTTTTGCATAATTTTGTAAAGAGAAAATGGTTTCAATAAGTTTTCTTGCCTCTAGGAATATTGTTTTGAGTGATTTTCATTAGTTTTTCTTTCTTCCATCTCTTGCATTCTTTAGCATCAGCTCTAATCTCCATTGCAGCCGATATATTTCATTACATGTTGTTTCATCATGGTTTGCTTCTATTTCTCCACATCTTGCACGTGTTTTCTTGTACAATACTCCTTTAGATGGCCATATCTTTGACACCTGTGGCATCTTCTCAGATGTAATATATTTTCATCTACTTTGGTTATTAAATAACCAATTTTAATTTCGGTTGTTAGAGTGGGTGTGTTGAATGTCTATATATGTGTGTTTGTATTTATTATCTAGTCTTGTTTTTTTTAATTGTTATCCTTTTGACATCAATCACATTGTTTTAGTTTTTTAACTCAGCTTTTCTCTCTTCCATGATATAGAGTCAGATCTCTATTACAAACTATACCTCTGGAAATGTTTACTCTTTCATCTGGCTATACTTTTACACTGATGTTATAGATTTTTTAAAATTTTTAACAACATGCTCGCATGTTTTTTTATTTGGTATTTCTACCAGAATGGTTCCACTTTTTAGGTTTTTATTTACCATAGAGGATAGAATTCTGTGCCCTAGGAATGGTGATAATTTAGTTAGAATCTAGAGAGGAAGTCCTGTTATGAATGTAGAAAAAGGTACCTCAGCCTGCTCATGCTCAGATTCCAACAATGTGGAGTTTTTTGACTTGGCTTTTTCTTTCTGTATCCATATAAAGAAATTATATTTCATAGACAGTGCTCCCCACCCACCACAGAGCCTACAAACAGAAATGCCAAGTGGGAAGCCCATTCACCTTAGCAGATCAGGGCTACACAGTATACTCACACTATGACAAGACAATAATTATTTAACTTCCTAAATTTCAGTTCCCAAGATAACTTCTTATTCAGAAAAAGTTTGAAACAATTGTCTCTTCCTAGCATGACTGACTCTACAGCCACTGCCTTCTGATTCAGTTTTTCACAGAGTCTGCAAGAATTTGAATTAGGGATGAGCATGACTAGCCAGTTAATCTGATTGGGCCTTTCCAACTGCCTGTCTGTCTAGCCCAGGTAAGGGTCAAAGTGATGTGTTGGAGTCCAGGAGTTAAAACATCATTCCTCCTGAAGCCCTTAATCACCAGGATCTCATCCCCGGGCATCATGGGTCACTACCCACAACTGACAGGTGGCTTCATGGGGTGGGAGTACCCCTCTGCAGAGGTGCAGTCGGCATATTATGAAGCCCCAGCCAAAAGGGCGGAATAACTGGATAGAAGAGGCAATGAGTGGCAGTAATTAAAAGTTATAGATATATGTATAAAAAAAAAATCTTACTGTCTCATGCTTCCATCTTTATATGTCTTTAAGTGCAGCAAAGTCTTCTTTTCTGGTTGATATTGAAATGATTCAATTCTTTCTCTCTGTTTGTGGTGATTAACAACAAAAATAGTAATTTCACCTGAAGGGCAAAAAAAAAAAAGAAAAAAAAAAGAGACTAGAATGAAATCCATACAAAAATAGTTACTCTTTCCTAAAGGGAAATTCATATCATTTAAATCAGAAGAAATTACACACTGAAATGATTTTCAGCTAGAGTTTATTAGCAAAAATAAATGTAAGCTTTATAATTACTGATTAGATAATATAGATTACTAATAAATGAATAAATACATATAAAAAAAAGTACAACATTTAAAAGGTTTTAAATATTTTAAATTTTATACAACTCAGACCTTTACTTAATTGAAACCAACACACACACACACACAAAAAAAGAAAGACATGCCTGCAAAATAATTGTAGAACTTTTAAGGAAATAAACTTAACAAATGTTACCAACTATCATATAGCTTATCAATTATACACATTTAAATTATTGTAATATTCAAAATTACTGATACATACACACAAAATACATTGTAAATTATTAAATACCTGTTTTATCAACCCAGGCACTTATTCCATGAGGTACAAACTCTCTTTGATCAAAATTTTCAATTTCTAATTCAATGGCTCCATTCTCACCAGATTGAGACATATCATACAACAGAATTCGACCAGACACACTTGGAACATCTGGATTATCCAATGTTAAACCCTGGAAAGAAAGTAGGAAAAACAACAATTTGTGAGTATATGTTAAAGAAAAGCCCACTAGGAGAAGAGCTGTGTTAGAGGTATTTAACACAAAAGGAATATTCTCATCACCCAAATGTACAAAAGCCTTTCCAATATCTACTTTGAGGTCACTGAAGATCCTTTAGGAGTAACTGAAAATATACAAGCTGTTGTTCATGATGACGGTTGTCTTTGAGTATAGAATCCAGAGGTTAGCAGTGAATATTTCGAAGACAGTAGGAAAGCGTTGTTTAGGTTAGCAGTGGATATTTTGATAAAAGTAGCAGAGCGTAATTCGTCCTTCTGTTTCTCTTCATCTGACAAACTGGACTGGACATTCGGGTAGAGTAGACAAAATGGCCACCTTTATACACGACGGATTGAATGTTCTACGTCTTCTGATTGGTTAACCTTCTATTGGTGGACTATAAAGTGAGTAAAGTCATTTGGGCTAACTCACTAGTAGATAGATATACACAAAAAACTGAAACACCCCCTTATTTTGGGTATATTATGGAATCTTCCTTCAAAATATTAGTAAAGTCAATATTAATATGTAACCAATACTTTAGTATTCCGAAATTTTTTTTTTTTTAGCATCCATAAAATACATTTTATTTTTATTTTTTTTATTTTTTCTATTTATTTATATTTTTATTTTTTTCTATTTATTTATATTTTATTTTTCTATTTATTTTTTTTTATTTTTTTTTTCTATTTATTTATATTTTTATTTATTTTATTTTTTCTATTTATTTATATATTTTTTTTTTTTTTTAAAGAAAATATCCACAAAAATTAGTCATATAACTTTGTCCACAGTTAAGTATTCAGGTTAATAAACATTAGCAATAATATTATAAGTTTGGGTTGTGATCACAACAAAAAAAGTGGAAAGAATTGTTACTTTACCCATAGCTGGGACCCATTAAAAGAGTCACTATCACTCCGGGTCAGTGTGATCATGAGAGTCACTAAAAAGTGAAAAATTGTTATTTTACCCATAGCTGGGACCCATTAAAACAGTCACTATCACTCCAGGTCAGAGTGATCCTGAGGGTCATTAGAAGAGGATTGGGCTAAAAGTAGGACTATTTACATTTATACCCCGAAACTAAGGACTCACATTCATGCCAAAAACTGAACTGACGTTTCTTAAGACAATAACTAATGGATGCAGGTTTATGTCCTACCCAGGACTAATAAGGACCTAAGAGGGACTTAATGGATGCAGTTTTACGTCTTGCCCAGGACTAATAAGGACCTTATAAGTCAATACCAAATATGGCAGAAGTGAAAGCCCGTAATTTCAATTTTGTAATTGGTTTTGTAAATAAATCCGCCATATTATTTCCCCGATTGAACGTATTCAATTTGTACTGTTTTCTTTTGTACTTGGTCCCTAACAAATTGATATTTGATATCGATATGCTTTGATCTTTGATGCATTATTGGATTTCTGGCCAAAGCAATACTGGCCTGATTGTCGCAGTAAATAATTATTGGCTCAGTTATTACCAGTTTTGTAATTGTATTTATTAGTAATTTAAGAAAAATAGCCTCTTGTGTTGCTTTTGACAATGCATTATATTCAGCTTCACAAGTAGAAAGTGAAATCATTCCCTGTTTCTTTGATTTCCAGCTGATTATTGGGTTACCATCTGCTAGCTTAAAGCAATAGCCTGTTATACTCTTACGATCTGGTGAGTTGGCCCAATCAGCATCACAAAATCCTTCCAATTTTAATGGTTTATCTGATTGTCGAAATACTAGGCACCAACTCTTAGTTCCCTTTAGATAACGTAATACTTGCTTAGCTCTTGTTAAATGCACAGTCCCCGGTTTATTTAAGTGTTGGGACAACTTAGTAACCGTATAGCAGATATCTGGCCTGGTTGATGTCATCACATAAATAAGACTTCCGACCAATGTTCTGTATTCTTTCTCACATGCCACTATACCATCTTCATTATTCATAATTGTGTTTAAATCCTTTTCACATGGAGTAGTTCTTGTTTTACAATTTTGCATGCTGAATTTAGATAAGAGCCTCTCGATGTATCTAGATTGATTCATTGTAATAGTGTTGCCTTCAAATTCGAACTGTATACCAGGAAACCATGATAGTCGGCCCAAATCGGTCATTTTAAACCTTATTTCTAGAGAATTTTTGATTTTTAATAGAGCGGCCTCACACTTTGATGCAATTAAAATATTGTCGGCCAAAATAACCAGAATTACTAATATTTCATTATTAAATGTTCTCGTGTACAGACATGGGTCAACTTGGGAGGATTGAAATTGTTGTTCAATTAAATAAGAATGGATTAATTTATTCCATGTTCTTCCACTCTGTTTGAGTCCATATAGTGACTTTTTAAGTTTCCATACATAATTATCACCTTCTTCAAAACCTTCTGGCGGGGCGGTTCTATGTATATTTTATAGTCGATGACAGCGTTCAAATAAGCTGCTTTAACATCCATATGGCGTATGTCCATACCATAATGTGCAGCCATTTGCATCAAAATTCTAATTGTTGTCATGTTTGTTGTTGGACTGAATGTTTCTACATAATCTTCCCCATATATCTGCGAAAATCCTTTAGCTACAAAATGAGCCTTGTAGACTGGCAGTCCATCCTCAGTTCGCTTTACAGTATAAACCCAACGGCTGCCGATAATATTTTTATCATCCGGGGCCTTTTTTAATTCAAAAGTGTCGTTTGATACTAAAGATTTAATTTCTTTTTGCATGGCAGCTATCCAACGTTTGGAATTGACAGAATGTATGGCTTCTTGATAGTCCTTTGGGATACATTGTACCGAATAGCAACAGTCAATGTCACAGATATGACATTGACCCATTCCAAAATAGTCTGGCTTTCTTCTATTTCTGGTCGGATAACGCGGAATTTGTCCCCCCCTCATCAGATATATTTTCTTTTAACTCAAGTTTTGCGTCCGATTTTTCCTCGTCTACATCATCTGGTATAATACCTTCCCCTGATTGTGGATTTTGAACGGGTTTTCTACTTATAGGCCCATAATTGGGCCATACTAGTTCAGGTTGGACTAGTTCCTCGCAGTTAATGTTCTTTTCTTCGGGTTCGTCCCCTGGCTCAAAGGAATCTGTAAATCTGACGCATCTGATCTTCCTTATCATTTTAGTTTGTGGAAAATAAATCATATAAGCTGAACTTGTCTTGTCATACCCAATAAATATGCCCCTTTCACTTTTTGGATCTAGTTTCGCCCTGTGGTCGATATACGTATAGCAAATTGTACCAAAAATATGCATATCACTCACATTGGGTTTGAAGTTCGTATAAGCTTCGTAAGGAGTCTTTTTAATGTTACTATTATAGCAACAGTTTCTTATATATACGGCTGTATTTAATGCATAAACCCACAGACTTTTGGGTAACTTAGATTCTATTAGCAAACATCTAGCCATATCGAAAAGCGTCCGCCAATTACATTCAGCGACTCTGTTCTGGTGTGGAGAATAAGAACAAGTTTTCTCATGCTTAATGCCTTCATTTATTAGGAGGTTTTCATAAGCATCAGAAGTAAATTCTCCACCATTATCTGTCCAAATTATTTTTACTTTTCCATACGGGGAGATATCGGATAAATAGATTTTTGTAGCTTGCAGGGTATCAGATTTATTTTTCAGAAAATATATCATAATAAGTCCTGAATATTCGTCAACAAAGTTTAATATATATGAATAGGTGTCTATACCCATTGGGGAAATTGGACCCACTAAGTTGCAATAAACTCTGAACAAGATATCTGTTGCTTTTGGGATCCGACCCCAATTTCTATATTTTGTCATTTTCCCTTTAATACACGTGTCACAATATTGTAAGTAAGCCCTTTGGAAATGTAATTTTCATTCCAGTGATGTGTTCTTGTAATCTTTTAACATCCGAATTATTACAGTGGCTTAATATTTTATGCCAAGTCCTTAAGTCGTGCGTGACTGTCTTCGCAGACTTAATACTTTTCAAATAATACAAACGTCCATTTTGCTGTATATTAAATTCAGTTCCATCTGGATATATTAACTTTGATGAAAACGCCAGTTTTAACTGCATACTGAACTGAAAAAATATTTTGTTTAAATTTAGGAATATATAAAGCCTTTTTTAATAAACATTTACAAATATTTCTTTTAATATCTCGTAGATAAATACAGGCATCACCTCTTTTTAAAACTAAATTATTAGCTCTGGTCCCGTCAGGTAACTCGATAAAATGTGAGTCGGGCTCAAAATTGGTGTCAAAATTAATAAATTTTGTTTCATCTGTAATTACATGATTTGTCACACCCGTATCAATTAGGTAAGAGTTATAACTACTGGCTACAGTATCCAATCCAAACAAAAAGGCATATGTTCATCTGTGGCACCTTGCATTATTAGAAATATTCCTAGAAATATGATTTAATTTTTTCTTACTCAGTTTGTTAAACAGGTTGTTAATTTTTTTTTTAAAAACGGAAAATAACTGAGTTGAAAATAATTCACTAAGAGTGTACTAGACGATCCTAAGGAAGGAAGAAGGAAAGAAAGGAAAAAGGAAGGAAGGGAAGAAAAAGAAAGAAAGAGAAATGTATGACGCATGACCCAATTGAGGGTGGAGATAGGAGTCAGAAAGAGATTTAGGTCAGCGTCTTGGCCGATTTTCGAAAGTCATTTTGATAAAGAATGTCGGTCAAAGCACCTAACCTACTTTTTGCATGGAAAGACACCTTATCAATTTGGATAAAGAAAAATTTTGGGAACAATGAAACAATTTTTAATCAGAGAAAAAGTGTCTTTGGGTTGAGGGGAGTGACGGTGGAACGATATACAGACCTGTTAAGAATTGGACACCCACGTTAATAAAGTAGAGACATTTCAATGTAGATAATTAAGATTTTTCGACTATCAGGTAAAACAAAGAGGTAAAAAAGAGGGACAATTGCTTTTGG